CATTTAATTAAGAATCTAAATTACGGCTTCACTTCATTGTTTAATTGTATCAGTGGCATCTGAGAAAGTATCTACTGTATTATAAATCATTAAATAATAGGTGCAAAAATACTTACAGCAAAAGAATATTAAGCTTTCAGTGTGGTCTACAGTAATTTAGAAATAAAGTAGTTAAAAAAATGACCAGGCATCATGCACAGCACTGGCCCTCTGTAAAGTTGCCAATCATCTAATTGCTGAACATTTAAATAATTAGTAAATATTTTTATTTATATGATCCCATTATTATTTCAAGTACGTAAAACAGAAAACTGAATAACTTTCCCAAGCAAAAAAACTATAACTGAAAGCGGACTGTCGGGTTATTTAGAAATATTAAAACTAATAATGTGGACCAGTTTTGTCCAGCTGACGCAAGCCCCCGCTGATCTACATAGCCTCTCGACAAGTGAATGCAGTTTTAAAGTGCATACATTTGTACCCATTATATTTACAGGAACCTTATTAAATAGCCACTCTTATGTACAATAATATCACCGTATAACATAAGACTTCATGCTTATTAAGGTAAAAAAATATTAAATTTGACTAAAATGGCTCAAATTCCTTATGCTCCAATACAATAAAGTTCATTTTAGCATGTTATTGATAGGATGGTTACATCTATATGTCCATTGAGGGCATGTGGCTTATCCTTCTGCATGCATTGAGAAATGCTGAGTCTCCTCGACTTTCCTAAGTGAAAACTGTGAAGACTCTAAAATTAAATCTGTATTATTGAAGATACTATTTAAAAATATATGTTGCTTTCTACTAGGCATGCAATGCATGCCTTGCATTAATTAAGAATATGCCACTGCTATGCAACCTGTACCAAAACTCACAGAACTGCCAGACGTACTTCAAGCGTCACTAGTGAAGAGGGAGCTAATGATTGGTTAATACAAGAGGAGATGGTTAACACAGAAGGAGTTGTTCGATTTCGTTCATATCATTATACAGTAGTAAGTATTTTAAAAGAGGCAAACAAAATTTTTTTTAATTATAAGTATTTATTAAGTTTTTTAATTTTTCTCTGTGATCATAATAACCTGTGGTGGGCAGGGCATGAAGGATGGGGGAAAGTGTCCGGTAAAACACAGTGAAAACAGATCATATGACAATAAAATGATATCTCTACATACTTTGTTTGTGAAGAAATTAATTATTTACCATAAATACTGTATGGTACTCCTCAAAAAAATCTGCCAATTTGACGCACATTCTCGTCTACTCAGTTTGTTTAAAACCAACTCTCTAGGTTTGAGCATAATCTTACATCCACAAAAAAAAACATAAAATCACATTATGTTCTATTAGGTTCTAGTAAATGTCGCCTCTTTTGAATTGAACAATGCCTCTGGTGTTAGCCAACTCCTCCAGAATTACCTATGACATTGCTTTAGCTCATGACCGTGCAGTCTCTAGGAAAGGGTGTTTGGGGATCCTTTGGACCCTCTACAAATAGATGACCACCTGCTGCTATGGTACGAGATTTCCATGTAAGGATATACTCTGGCTAGATATTGGGCGAGTGGCAAGTTCATTTCCTGTCAGTCCCAAGACTCCCAACATATATGTGTGTGTTAATAGCGTTGAGGTATCTCTTCTTCGTCATCGTCGTCTTCAACGGGACTGTGTTCTGTTAGTTGTTGCAGATCTTCGTTGGTGAGCTCTTCTGTATGGGATGCCAGGACGTCCTCAATATCCTCTGATTCCAGCTCATCAAAGCCTGCCTGTATAGCCAAGCTGAGGATATACCTATTCACAGCTGGGACTAAGTCCGTGATTCCCGTAAAACTGTTGACTCACTCGGGCCACAGTTTATGCCACACACCATTCAGGCAACTTTCTGAAACCTTTTCCCATGCCTTGCCAATGTTGTCAATTGCATGAAGAATGTTGAAGCCACGCCAATATCCTCCGATCGTGGGTTTATTCTCTTCGTCTGTAGCCTTGAGCAGCTGAACTATGGTACGGCGTAAATAATACGCCTTGAATGAGGCGATGACGCCTTGGTCCATAGGCTGCATCAGTGCTGTCATGTTGGGAGGCAGAAATACAACTTTTACACTGTCATGCAAGTCGTCGAGATTGGGAGGATGAGTTGGAGCATTGTCAACGATCAGAAGAATTTTGAAGTCAAGGTTTTCCTTGGCACAGTATTCCTTCATTGCAGGGACGGCGTACATGTTTAACCTTCTTGTTTGCCTTGTAAATGACAGAAAGGTGATCCTTAGAGTAACCTTTCAGTGCCTGTGGGTTAGCAGCGCGAGAAATCAGCATAGGCATCAGCTTGAAGTCGCCGGCATCGTTCGCGCCAAGCAACAGCGTCAAGCGGTCTTTTGCCGCTTTAAAACTTGCTGCTCTTTTCTCCTCCTTGGAGATATTGGTCCTCTCAGGCATCCTCTTCCAAAAGAGACCAGTCTCATCTACATTGAAGGCTTGCTTCGATGAGTAGCCTCCTTCCTGGATAATCCATTTGAATTCTGGCGGGAATGTCTCGGCAGCAACCATATCTGAACTGGCAGCTTCACCAGTCATCTTAATATTGTGGAAGTTATACCTGCGCTTTATTGAAACCAGCCTCGGCTGGCCGTAGAGGTCTCTTTCTTCGATCCTTCCCCCTTTTCTTCCTTTATGTCATCAAGCAAGGATCTGGCCTTATGCTGGATAACCCTAAGGCTCACAAGCGCATTGCGTTGGTTCTGGTCCTCCATCCACATAACCGGCATCTTTTCCAATTTTTCTATCACAGTACTTCTAGTTCGAGTTGTTTTAGTTGCACTGAGAGTAGTGCCACTTCCAGCACTCACCTTAATCTTGTCAGCGTTGGTCCGGATAGTACACACCGTTGTGGGGGTTAGACCAAGCACAGCGGCGATGTCCACAGCACGTTCCCCTTCTTCAAATCGGGTTAATACATCCATTTTCGTAGCAAGGGTAATGGTCTTATGTTGCCTCTTCACTACACCAGCATCAGTAGCACTTGTTGGGCATTTGGAATCCATTTTGAATGGTTATAGTACAGTTTTAGAGCAAAAGCACTTGAGCACACACAAATGATGTGAAGTCGTAACAGAGGCTGGCTTGGGGACGCTGTGACGTTCTGTGAGTGAGGGCAGCGCGTCGAGCCAAGAGAGCGTAGTGCGGCCAGATAAGAGCGGGTGATGCGCCGTAGAAAGTAGTCCGTGACCACGCAAAACGACATAGTATCGGATCCCCGGGATGTTAAACGAATTTTTGGTCTAAAGTTTAGCGATGTAGTACCGAAACAACGTTTAGCGGGACGGCGTTATACGAGGATGCACTGTACCTTGTTTTATTTTATTTATCATAATAATAAATGGCTTCTCTCAATTAATTATTTGTTTGGGGTTATTATGTTGTGAAAAAGAGGAGAGAGAAGATAAAGTGAGCCGTCATCTTCGATACAAAGTATCCTTTTATTCTCAAGTCAGAATACAAATTATATACAGTACAGTATTATGTTTTTTCTGTTATTGAAGACTTTATATTATTTATGATGAATCATATGCCATATGAGGCTGATCATAGAAGAATATAATATTATTGAATCAATAATAATCACGTTCGAAAGCTGACCTTGACGGCAGGAGTGGAAGAGTAATCAGGGAAGAGATTACTTTCAGATACAGCTTTTTCTTTTATTTTCAAGTCAAAATACAAATTATATATAGTTTTTTGCTTCTATTATTTAATGTTATATTATTTATGAAGAAACATACACTCTAAGAGGCTGATTATATGAGAATATAATAATGATTGAATGAAAACAAACTGGCGAACTTGGCAACGGCAAGTCTCTCACATCTCCAGCACGGTTATACTGTACATGAAGTCTCATCTGTCGTACCTATTAGCTCTCATTAGGCCTATATCAAATCTGATTCGACCACTGTACAGTATCTCCATTAAAGACAACACATACTTCACATAAAATGCTAGCCATTGTTTATAGGTTTAAGAGAAAAAATATAAAGCTGAGAAAGGTGTTTTTATTTACCTTATTAGATGCTGCAATAGTGGGAGTAGACAATGCACTTATGATGTTCAGGTACAATTTAGTTGGATAGTAATCATTTTCTATTTACTGTGCTTCTAAAATAATACAGGTTTTGTATGTGGTTCTTTTCACTTACCAAATTATATGTAGTGTTAACTGTACAAACTTAATATTACTGTAGAGACACAAGACATTGATGGGGTAGGGGAAGTCATCACAACACAAAAAGTTTGCAGTAAACCACTAAAAGTTCATGTAAACGAGTGTAGAAAGCAAGGTGCAGTGCCCTCGTGATATGTATGAATGCGGGACTCAGAATGGGGCACATGACACCCATGCAAATACAAACACACAAACCGTCCAGACTGATAAATCAGACTTCATTATATCAGCATTTGCTTTTTTTCGGACTCTCCAAGGTGCTCCCTCTATTTATCATATATATTTAATAAAGTCCAGAAAATATGACTTGGGGTTGCACTGGATAGGTGACAACACTAGAAGGGGTTGCACTGGAAAATGCTTGGGAACCTCTGACCTGGAGGCTCTGATTAATAGTTTTAAAACTTTTTCTGTATAGTAAAGTATTTGGAGAATTGGTATCACTTAGATGCGTTCCTTCTTGAATATGAACTTTTGTGTTGTCTTAGTGTAACCTCTTTGTAGTGGTAGTATTCTTGTAGTATATGTCACTGTATTATTTTAATGTCCAGATTTCTGAAAGCATTTATAACTGACACTAATTGCTGAATTAAAAACTTTAAACAGCATGTTATCATTTATAATAGCATCATTTTAACAGGACTTTTCTTAATTGCCTAAAAATTTGACTTAAATTCTTGTTTGTTAAATGCTCTCATCTGTTCTTTTAATACTGTTTATTTATGCTTTAATTTACAATTATTAAGGATGTATTTTGTTTGAATACTTGCAGAAAAATCTGGCCATGTTCACTACACAGTCCTGTGGTTACCGTCCCGCTTTACACAGTTGTGGCTGTACTTGATCACCCTTGGTATTGTCTTCTTTGTTGTTTTACCATCTATTCTGTGTATCATCAGAAATTACCTTGTGACACTGTGCAAATTATGTGGCGTTGCTTTGGGATTTGGGCCAAAATACCATCGCATATAATCACTTTGTATATACACATATTATCTGGGACACCAAATTGGAGGGTAACGTATTCTCTACTTAGGAATCTCAAGAGGAATCATCCTTGAGCCAGGCAGTGGAGGAATGGTAAAGGTGATGTTCATTACAGCATGTGTGAAATTGGTCAGCCCTGTCATACCAAGGCCCATAGTATAGTACAGGTTATTCTACTCTGGCCTCCAAGGACATAATCTCACTATTTTCTTAGAAGCAGGAAACATTTTAAGATTACTCATAGGAGTTGAAGTAACCAGTCTGATTTATTTTTAGATGAAATAAACATTCCAGAAATTATTTTTAGACAAAGATTATAAGATTTATTTTTGGATGGTATAAACATTTTAAATTTATTTTTTAGGAAATACGTAATGTAAAAATTCAGTTATTATTCATGGGGAATGAAAGAACCATTTTAATATTAATATATCTAAGAGATGAAGTAAAACAGTATTATGTGATCATGTTTGAAACTTTATGGTCATTAATGAATTTTATGATATTTATGCATTGTTTTATATACAGCAGCTAAATGTATTATGTTATGTACTCAAGGTGTTAAGTTTGTTTGATTATAAGTTTCAATTCCCAATTTAATTTCTAAAAGTTTATCCAGTTTTTTTTAATCAGGTTTGTAGGGAACATTCTACAGTCTTTTTGTGATGATGTGTTGTTATAGTATCTGTGTTATGGGTAATGCAGCACAATCTTCTGTCCAATATTTTTGTCTCTAAGGTGATTGGATTTTTACATATAAAAGTTTTAATGCTAATACTGTATACAGTACTGTATTACTAAAGTATAATCAAACTACTTCCCATGTTATCTATAGAGATGATTTACATAATGTTAGAATGTATTCTCTAATATTGTATGTACTATATAAAACTATTTTTATAAAGTCTTCATTTTGTCTTGTGAGAGAATTCATTGATCAACAATAAATAAATAACAGGTGGATTCACTGTTAACTGTTCAAACATTTAGCACAAGTACAGTAAATGGAATATTTGGTTAAATCTGATGATTTATTGGATGAGTGTTATTGTAACAATGCACCAGCACTTTATCAACACTTATGGCAAAAACTAATGTGGAGGCTTCACCACTTTCTAATTAGGAGGTGTATAGTTTAGTAGATGCCACAGAAGAACATGGATCTTGTATAGTATATGTTAAAGGTGGTATTACTTGTAACATTTAGTATTCCATTTTATAATATTACATGTAACAATTAACATTCCATTTTATAATAGTGTTTTTAAACAAAATTAGACACAAGTTCAACATGGCAGTCATGACCCCTCAGTGGTTACCAACTACCAGTTTTGTGTTGTCATGTAGTGTTAATGAGTACAGTGTATAATATAATTTAATCCTTTCAGGCAGGGCTACCGAGAGCTGGTCAGGTCCCTGGGAAAGATAAATTTATGGGCCACTTTACAGATGCATTTAATATTTATATCTCCCTTCTCCGGGACCCGTAGAGGCCCGGGCCCCGAGGATTTATTACGGCTTCCCCGTCCTCTCAGTGGCCCTGCTTTCAGGTGTACTTACCGGGTAGTACAATTAAGGCGCTTGATGAAACACCAACGTATGCGCAAAAATCAAGTTTTGAGATAATCAAAGTTAAACTTAGTGTACTGTACATTGTTTTTATCATTACTCCATTACCAACCAATGTTCAGGACAAGAATCTTATTTCTCCATGGTTGGTTTATGTCAGTATTCCACAAAGCTCTTCAATTAAATAATAAATAACTGGCTTGTAGTTTTGGGTTAGCACACTTAAATGCTTTGTACTGTATTAGATAAAATTTAAATTCAAAGTGTCAGTAATTCTGTTTATAATTTTCACAAATGTATGTATAAATTACCAGTTAACTTGCTACCATGTTGTAGAATTATGCATATTCTTATGCACTCAGTAGTGAGGCTTTGCAGATTGAAGTAATACACTAATGGAAGTGTTAGCTTTAGTGAAGAAGTGCCATTAGGAGAACAAGGAAGCAAGCTAATTATAATAGGAGTACTGCCATTGTGTTTCATAGTATAGAAATTGTTTAGGTTTGGTAATAAGGTGAGTGGGGGGGGAGTACATAAAATATAAATTGGAGGAAGAAACACACAAAATATATAAAAATAGGAGATCAGCAGTAGGAAGAAATAGTAGCACTTTAAAGAGAAATTTTAATAAAAGTAATAGCTCATAGAGGGGTTGGGGCAGCTACTCTCACACGAATGACAAATAGTAGGATGAAGATTTGATCTAAAATGGTTTATTTATAAGGAATGCATGATTTGTCAGCTACAGTGGGTCCCCGGGTTATGAATGGGTTCTGTTCCCGAGGACGTTTGTAAGTCGGAACACATGCTATGTGCATACCGTATTTACAAAACAATGTTTAAAATCTCACTATATCATAGCCTAAGTCCTTATATACAGGTTGTACCTCTCTAGTCCGTCATTCTGTGGTCCGGAAACTCCCATAGTCTGGAACGATTTTAGTTTGCCCATGGAGAAAATTAATTTGAGTCTGGTACTTTCGATGTTTGGCTAAATTTGGCCTTATTTACCCTACTTTTTTGGCGAATTACTACCTGTAATAATGCAACATCCTAATAAACCAACACAGAAAAGTTCTTATGTTTTACAGCTTTAGCTAGAGTTGAACCTGATGGCCTGGCAACTTCGTCATCCAAGTAAAAACACACACAACAACATTGGCTGTCTATATCTTTTCAACTTTACCACCACTGGTGGGTAGATTTTTTTTTTTAATTCAGAAACATTAATTAAAACATATATGAACAGTAAATAAGTGTTGCTTTCATATTCTTATGTAGAGTAATGACGTTATGTTTTCACATGTGCGCACTTACATATGCGATCTCACTTTTTATTTTACCATTAATGGTTAGCTACTTCCATTGTTCCATTTATTAACATTAAATTACATTACTTAAAACAACCATATTAATTTTACTACAGCTACAACCAGGGTCTTATTTTCTTCAGTTTTATATGTAGAACCAATCATTTTCCGTTTTCGTAAACAACGAAAACAACTCTGTCTCGTCTCCTTGTGTGTTTTAATATTCTACGTATTACTAATGAATTGTATTGTTCATTTTACACACATAAACATTAATTCATTCAAAAAGACATTCAGTAATAAACAATAATGAATGTTTTGTACATGGAGAAATGACGCTGTATACACAATTGTGCACGTCTGAACGATGAACGTTGGCGGGCCGTTCAAACCCGTCGAAATTTGAGTTTCCGCTGTCAAAATTTTCAATTGTGCAGTGGTTTTTTTTTTGTGTCCAAATAAAAAAATGTTGAATTAAAAACTCGCAAAATTTGAGAACCTGCTGTACAACATTTAACCCTTCAATATGTCTTCAAAGAGACCACGAAGCAGTGAAAGTGGTGCTAGTGCTTCCAAGTGTATGCACAAGTCACTATCTATCCAGGAAAAGGGTGAATTTCCATGGTCGGGCACCGGTCAGGTCCCGCGGTTGCCGGACTAGAGAGGTACAACCTGTACATCTAAGTCACTTAATTTAAAAGAAAAGAAGAAATAGAATAACAAAATACTATAAATGAAAGTAAAAAAATAAGTCATTAGGTAAATAAAATACTGTAAATTTCAAGTTTAACCTCGTTCATATCAGTGGGCGTTCATATGTTGGGGACCTCCTATTGATAAATACTAAGTGCAGTTACATTCATCCCTCTATTTGCATGAGTTGTATTTCCACAGATTGTGTATAACATGTCTTATATTTAAAATTTTTAAACTTGAAATAAATAACCTTTGCTTTGTAAAACACAGGTTGTGATACCATAGATTACAGTAGAGTCTCATTACTCTGACATGAATCTGTCAGAAATTCAATCCACTAACATTACTAAATTGTAACCATCAGGAAATAACCCTGGCATGCTCTACCATAAAGTTGGTAAATGTAAGAGTGGATGCATTCAAAACCAGTACAAGTTTGTGTCCATTAATTTTATTGTGTACTGTACAGTACATTGCTTTGTTAAAAAAGAAACATTAAAAATAATTAGCACTTTTTTTTAAATAGTAATTGCATATCAATAATTATTGTGTAAGGAAGGATAGTATTTTAGTACTGTATAGTAATGCTTGTTTAGGACATTTTTTATTGATTATTTTTCCTTCACAATTTTGATAGACAGTCTCTCCTCGACTTAAGACGGGGTTCCGTCCCGACGACCAGGTCGTAAGTCGAAAAGGCCAAAATAATACATAGAAATTCTAAATTGGGTGTCTCCTTTTCTTCTCAGCACCACGAGAACTCTCACTTTTACACTTGACAGCCATTTTAAATGGAATTACAAACGAAAATTTTGTCAGGGCACAGCGCGATCACTAATGTCGGGACTCGAAAATACGTAATGTGAAAAATATTTTATACAACCATTGCCGTCATATGTCCGGGTTGTTGTAAGTTAAATATGTCGTAAGTAGAGGAGAGACTGTAGTACATTTGGTAACTCAATTTTGTATTTATTTTTTAATTCAAATAAATAAGAAATAAATACTGAAACTCTTAAGAATAAAATAAAATTGTGGCATATGTCAGTCTCCAGAAGAAAGGAGGGGTCATGGCTACAGTGCAGAGAGTTTACATGTACAGTAGCTAAAACAAGAAGCATAATGGTAGACCCTGCTGCTATATGGCATCACAAAAATTGTGACCAAGTCCCAGGTTGCTGATTTGACTTTCTCCCTCATTTACACACAATTGCAGTCTCAATGTTTCTCTTATCATTGACAACACAACATATACAGCTACTCCCCGACTTACGACCTACTCGACTTACGACCACCCGGACATACGACAGCCTCGGTCATATTAAAATTTTGTCAAATTATGTATTTTCGAGTCCCAACGTCAGTGATTGTGCTGTGTACTGACAAAATTTTTGTTTGTAATTCACTTTAATATGGCTGGCAAGCTTAAAAGTGAGAGTTTTGTGGTGCTGAGAAGAAAGAGACACCCATTTTAGATTTTCTACGTATTATTTAAGCATTTTCGACTTACGACCTGGATTTGGGTCCCTAACCCCGTTGTAAGTCAGGGAGCAGCTGTATATTATTATTCACTTTTGATCTTTTTTTCATATTTGTATTTCTTTATGGTTCTTTATTATTATTATTATTACATTTTTGCCCCCCAGGCCCAGATGTGGGTCAGTGATCTGTGCCCAGGTGAGCTAATCACCGTGTAAAAAAATAATAAAAAAAAAATATAAAAAAATCTGTGAAGGTGGAGGTCGATATGCTCCAAAAATTTACGTGTGACTAGTAACAGCACTCATATAACAAAATTTATCATCCATGGTCTCATATTGTTTCCCACAAAGTATGCACAGATAGTTATTTTAGCTACTGTACACTGGCCAATTACCACCTGAGGTCTTCAGATTGAACACCTTCCTTTCAGTTTTCCGGTGCACCGTTCAGTTACTGTATTTTTTTAATTTCAAGTGCAAAATGAATGTTTATTAAAAAAATATGGGAACAGTGTTCAGTAAATTATGGCAGAAAAGAGAAAATTGAGTGAAGATATTATGGCCTGAAGTTGTCATTGATTTTGCAGGATTCATTTCTGGAGGAAATTGCTCAGGTTACCATCAACATTGACAAATTGGCCAATGAAGTTGTAATGTCAGATATTGATGTAGAAAATGTATAAGAGCTTATGTATTTTCATGGGATGTAACTATCAGATGAAAAGCTAATGAACTTCCGCAAAATCCTGAGCCTTCTGAAGAACAGGAGTGGATGAACCTAAACCTGAGTGATTTCTCACAAGAAAAAATTTGGCCAAATGGCTGGATCAAATACCATTGGTGCTGGACAAGCTTATTGAAAATGATTATGATTTTGAGTGCAACTGCGGTGGTTAAGGATGTCTTGCTTGCTACAAGAAACTTTGGCAGATGGATCATAAAAAACACCAGGCAACCCTTGATATAATTTTCAAGAATACAACTGCTACTAAACATCATATCAAGCCCCAACTAGGCTCATCTAAGGATCCAGATGATCCTGACCCCAAGCAATGAACCTCAACTTGAGCCCTCATTTATTTCAATTTAAAATAGAAGCTTTGTCAGATATGGCCAAACAAATCAGCTCACTCTCAAACCATTTGTGGTAAGTTTTACTTTACTTTAACAATGTATGTTTTTGCTTTTATTAGTACAGTAATAAAAAATTTAATTATCTGTACACAGTAATTAACCCAAAAATATTTCAATAATATTTATATGTATTTATACTTCTGCACGTGACAGACAATTGGATGGAAGGATAAACATAAATAAGCATATTCCAGCAAGTAGTTGGAACCAATTTTACTTAAGTATAAAAATGACATTAATTAATGGACAAAACTAGCATTAGAAAAGAACATTTTACAAGATCCAACAGCAAATTTCTTTTAAGTGTTTGTAAAAAAACTGCTAGCAAGTGACAGACAGCGATTACAGAATTCAGATGTGTTTATTATTTATGAAAATATATACCGGTATCACTGTTTACTTCTTTAAAAAAAAGGGGGGGGGGGGAAGACGAGGTGCACTAACATGTGTTAAAGATCCAAGACTGCATCTGCCTATTTTCCATAAGAAGTTCAGTTTGATTTTTGCAAATTCAGTGTAGACAAGATTTTTCAAGAATATAATCTCCATGTAAATTGAGGTCTAAAAGCGTGTCATGCAAGACCTCAAGTAAGTGAGCTAAATATAAAGTAAAAAGCTTAATGGGCAGTGGAGGAGAAGACTCGGGAGGTTGTTGAGAACAAGGCGAATGAGGTGTGGGAGGGTATCTGGCGTTGTACAGAGATTTGCAGCAGGCTGCAAAACAAAGCTAACCTAACCTCACAAGGAGGTTGGACAAGGTATTAACTGCCATAAGATGAAATACTACATGTTACATAATGAAAAATAAATTATTTGTCACTGTCATCACACCTTAATCCAAATCCCACTTTATCATTTATTTCCTTCCAATTTACAGTAGTTACATCAGAAATTGCAGCTCTAAAATTCTATAAAATTTCATACAGTACAGTACCCTATATACAAATCAGCTAATTTCCAAGCATCCACTTGTGGGAGGTACGTAAATTAAATTTGTTCACTTATTTTCTAAGACTTTATGATGTCACAACTACAGCATGACAGGAATCTAATAATGTAACTCATCTCATGATAATTATTACCAACACTCCTACCCAGTACCTACTATACTCACCCATCAATACTCTCCTCCAACACTAACACCCACCTCCACTACCCATCCATTATCACAAGCATCAACCACCACTGACCAGCATTACCACCATCAATCATCCACTACCATTCTCCTTTAACACATATTGACACTGTCCATCA